ACAAAAACAAAGGTAAAATGACATTTATCGAAATATTTTCTGATTAGATTATTTTCATAGGTGCTTCCTATCACTTTACATTTTTACCATCAACTGGTTCTCTCTTACAGAATGCACGAATCGAATTTGATAAACATAATTTCTCGACGTCGAAATCATTCGATAATCTATTCTATGAAGGCAAACAAGGTCTTCTGCAACGTCTGGATTTCTTTCTTCAGAATCCACAGTATTACAAACAACGAGGCATTGCACATTCTATGGGTCTAATGTTCTACGGAGAACCTGGTAAGTTCATTACTCGTAAATAATAATCATCTATAGAGTAACATAACGAAATATTTTTACAAAATGATCTGTTGTCTTGAATACCTTTATAGTATGTGAAGAAGAATGAAAACTTTCTTTTGTATAGGTTGTGGAAAGACTTCAACGATCAAGGCGATTGCTGCCTATACTGGACGTCATCTCGTCGAAATTCCACTTTCACGTATTCGTACTTGTGATGAACTCAAACGAGCCTTCTATCTTAACTCATATGACACAATCGATTTAAACTTTTCGGATAAAATCATCGTTTTTGAAGACATCGATTGCAGTAAGTTACGCAATTATTTTTGTTATTGATGAGAACAATTAAAAGAATTATTTCTATTCTAGTGAGTAATGTCATAAAACCTCGATCGACGACATCATCATCATCATCATCCGATTCAATAACATCCGATGCCGATAATCTTATCATTCGTCTTCAACAAGAGGATTTAGATAAGCGTGAGAAGAAACTTTCAAAACAATCTTTGCGAAATTTAATAGGTAAATTTTTCATAACATTTATAGCCGAATTTGATTGAAATATACACTGAATATAGTTGACTCAGTATAAATTCTATTCAGAATAATCTTCAATTAGTCGCTCTATCTGAATCTCATTGAGTGTCATCAGTAATTCGCCCAGTTGCCTAAACAGATCATTTGTCATAGACTTTTGATTAAATGATTCAATCACATGACGAAAATAAATGAAATTGTGTTGAAAAACTATAAACCGAAATTCAACAATCATGTATTGTTTTTATTTATCTTCATTGAATATAGTTAGTGATAGTTATTCAATTGTACAAGATCCTCTTACGTTGTCTTTTTTGCTCAATCTCATCGATGGAATAATCGAACAACCATCGCGCATTCTCATCATGACTACCAATCATCCCGATCAGATTGATCCTGCTCTCATTCGACCTGGACGCATCGACTTCAAACAAGAATTTAAACGTTGTTCGAAACCAATTATCAAAGATATGATCGAACATTTCTTTGAGAAGGAGTGCGATGTCGATGTTACTCAGCTTCACGATTATATTTATTCACCAGCTGATGTTGTTTCAGCATGCATGTCAGCAACAGATGGACAATCTACTGTGGAATTACTCATGGTGCAACAGTCGAGAAATATCAACGTCAAGATTGAACAGAAAATCGTCTCTTGAATACTACTAATCACAATAAACATTCATCTACAAAATTAATAACAAAATTGTTTTTTTTTTCTTAAATCTTCAGAAATAAAATGACTAGTCGAGTTAGAAGTTAAAAGTGAAACAAAATGTTCTTATTAACCATTGGGAGATAGTTCTCATCGTGAGGGTGTGGGTGTGAGTATTTATTGTTCAAATCCATATCCTTTATTTCATATGGTTCTTAAAATTGTCTAGAACCTTGCGATGGTTTATTAATAAACGTTAATTATTTCTTCCTTGACTCTGTTCCACATGACACATTAGTGCAAACTATCCATACTAATGTCCTCACTATTATCATTCATCTTGTCGTCGTCGATTTCTTCCAAGATTACTTCGATTCGTTCATTTCCAGTCTGTTTCATTATTTTTCTATTAAATGACCGAATTTGGAATGGAACATACGGATAAACTAAGACTTCCTCTTCATCTGGCTTGTCTGAAATTGTTTCTATTTCCAGAGCTGTGCGTCGATAATTATGAATGTTATATTCACATAAAAGTGATAACTGATTTGTTTGTTTCGAATCAGGATCAGCAAATACCTCAGCAACTGCCAGATTTTTTGAAGTCGACAGAAATGTGGTAGTTATAATTATGGAACCGTTTTCATATCCTTCCAATACACTTGCATTATCAATAATGGAGCCTCGGTACACGGTGAAATTTCCTTTAGATAAGTATTTATCTAATTTCGGGTGGAATAGAATAGCAACGAAAGCCTGAATGCCATCTTGTGTACGTGCTAGTACATTACAGTTAAGGGGTGTACAGTAAAGTTTGAGTTCATGATAGGTATCTTTAGCCATGTCACTATTGATTTGTTTGCTGAAAGTTTGTGAACGAGTGTAAGCTCGAAGTATATACATTGGTTCATTCTCTGCACTAGCAGTTTTAAGATCTTCGATGATGCCTTCCCAAGTAGTTGGATCTGCTAGCATATTGATATCGTCCAGATAACCCTTTCGAATTGCATAAACCAAATCGTTGACTGTTGTATTTAATCTCAGGAGAACTGTGAGCTTTTCAAATAATCAAATAATTATAATTAAATAAGCTTACAATGGAAAATTGCATAAGCTCAACTTACCAGCCAGTGTCTTGTAACATATAGTTTTTGGTATTGTAAACGAAATTTTTTAGCCTTTTTCAATGCAAAATCATTTCTATCATTTAAATGCCATTCATAAGCAGTTCTCTTGTTAGGACAGTTAATGTAACATTCATTGTCCGTTATAAAATCTAGTTTAATTACACGTGCTGACATTGATACATATAAACTCGTTTAAGTTTCGTTTGCTTTTAGAATAAAAGATTAATAAAAATGAATGATGCCTATTTGTACTATTGACGTGTTTTTTGATCGCATACAATGTAGCAAAAAAACATAGAGAATAAAGCAATACTAAAAAATAACTATTGACACATCATTCAGAGAGAAAGATTTATGAAAACAGTTG